GAGGGTGTCACCTAACTTTCTGGTGGGACCCCGAATTTTCTCAAGATATTTGCGGCCATTCTTTATTGGGCAGCATTTCCAGCTCTTCACCACTCCATTTTTTATTTCGAAAAATACGTATCGCTTCCCTCTTCAGCTCCCTATGACGATCGCGTATAGCTCGCGTTGAGTTCTTCAAAGGCGTGGCCTTTTTCTTCCTAGTGCTCAATCTGCGGCGGTATGTAATGAGCAGGAAATGTGATTCCACTGCATCTTTTATTGTTATAATGGCATTTGGATAAATGTTGTTGAAGTGATAAAGCGCAAACAGTCAACGACGTAGCGTATACGTAGGTTGACGCAGACACGATCTATCTTATGGGATTCGCGTGTTAACGAAAACTCACCACCCTATAGCGGTGACGTTGCCGTTGCTTCTCTCTCTCTCTCTCTATCAACAGTAAATTTGATATGCTGATACGGACGTCCTACGATTACGCTACGTCGTTGACTAACTGAGCTTTTAGTCCTGGCACATCCTTGATTCTCTCACATAAGTATGTACATATGTTGGGTTCTCGAAAAGTATTCCCATAGAGCAGAGGTGTGAGAATCGAGTTGCGAATATGCTTTCTTTAAGCACATAATCGATTTAGTTTCTCGTATTGATGATGAAGGCTAAATGATTCCCTATTTAATCACCCTGGCATAAACATTGCTGAGCGCGATTTTCATTTATTGACGGTGGCAGCAAAATAGAGGTATCTCGACGTATCGTCCTTATCTTTCGTCGGAGTGTAGGAACAAATGAACAATATGTTGAAGAATTCCGCTATGATGCGGATTGTGACGATAAACTTGTACACCGCAGGGAATGGCAGTACTCACCGACGGTGTCTCTCTGCCACCGCAAATGCTGCTGTAAAAATTTCCTACTTCAAATAAATATTCACAGTTCTTCAATATCCTTACTTATTTCCTTTCAGGTACTCGGTGTTTCCGAACGTGAATTCATGGACCAAATGGGTGTTTATTTTGTCGGCTTTGTTGGTCAATATGGTTACGATCGCGTTCTCTCCGTACTTGGTCGACATATGCGCGACTTTCTCAATGGACTCGATAACCTGCATGAATACTTGAAATTCTCCTACCCCCGCATGCGTGCGCCATCATTCATTTGTGAAAATGAGACACGGCAAGGACTCACATTACACTATCGTTCGAAGCGGCGCGGTTTCGTCTACTACACAATGGGCCAAATACGTGAAGTGGCGCGACATTTCTACCACAAGGAAATGCACATCGAATTGGTGCGCGAGGAGATTCTCTTCGATACGGTGCATGTGACATTTCAGCTGACATTCGATAATCGTGCATTCACACTGGCTTCGTTGGCGATGACGCGCGAAGAGAAACACTTGCCCATCAGTGCACATGTACTCTTTGAAATATTTCCATTTTGCATCGTATTTGGGTAAGTATACGCCACGGTGAGCGGTGCTGGCGGATGGGTTGCGTGCTGGCGTGTTGTACCTAAATACCCAATGCCCGTCATTTGAGTATACATACGTACATATGTATATGTACTAACATGTGTATGTGGCAACAGCGCTTGTGGTTGATTTTAATTATGTGGCGCAGCAGTGCATTGCAGCGGTGGCAACTTAACTGGCGCATTCGCATTGGCTGCAGCTGTTGCCTGGCCACACAACTTGTTACTTCGCAGCGCCTGCAATGCATTTCAGCGCTAATTTTGTGGCTGTTTTTTTTGTTCTTCTTTTTATTGCGTCATCTTATTGGTTTGCTGGTGCTGTTGCTGCTGCTGCAAATTTATCGCCGCTATGCAGTGCCGATATGGTGGTACGTAGCATTGGTAATTCCCTGATGGTCATTCTACCCGACCTACTTGGCCAGAAGATTACCGCCTGGTTCGATCTGGTGCGTCCATTAATTGCCTTCAAATTCCAAACCGTAAGTAGAGGTCATGCTAATGAGTAATTTTTAAATTACTAACGGTGTGTGGCAGCTGAATGCGGTTTGAATTAACTTCGGTGGCTTTGTTATTGCCGAGAAACGCTGGTGAGTTGAGATTCTTTCTCGAAAGGTTGCATTCAACTGCCATGCGTAGGTGTATAGGTTTTAATAATTAGGTTTGTGAGATTTTTCTATTTTTTTACATTTAATTAGATTTTAAACAGAACGAATAATATTTTCGAATTAGTCACAGT